GTCCCAGAGGCCCCAAAGACCGCCCCAAGACGGCCCCAGAGGCTCCCAAGAGGCTTCCAAAACGGCACAAGAGGGCGCCAAGACGGCCCAAGAGGCGCCCAAGACGGCACAAGAGGGCCCCAAGACGGCCGCAAGAGGGGGACCACGAACCGCAAAGTCTAGCCTTTCGCCCCAAGAAGTTCCCGGGAGGCCCCCAGAGACCCCCTCAAGAAGCCCCAAGAGGCCCCCAAGAGGCCACCAAAAGGGCCCGAAAAGGGCCCCAATAGGACTCCCACGAAGGCCCAGAGACGCCAAATAACGAGCGATCGGTAACGCAAAAAGCTCTTCACACCAAGGCTCCCAAGAGCGAACGGTGACGTAAACAAGCTGATCAGACCAAGGCTCCCAGCAGAGAGCGGTGGCGCAACAAGTTCCTGACACCAAGGCCCAGCCAAGGCTCAGGAACGGGCGGCCACGCAACAATCTCTGAACACCAAGGCTCCCGAGAGCGAGGGGTGACGTAACCAGCTCTCAACGCCAGGGCTCCCAGTACGAACGGTGCTGCGAGAAATTTCGGCATCTGCTTCTGAAGCGCTCTTTCCGTCTCTGTGCCGGGCCCAGGTAACGGAAAGAGCGAGGTACGGGCGATGACGTTGCGTGCTGGGCGAAGCCTTAAGGGGGGGTTCAGGGGGGTGCGTATTGCGAACGAACGGGTGTTAATGGCCGTTTTAGGAGTATTCCTCAGGGTTTTTGCATGTTTTTCAGATTTCTCTTCCGTCCCAGAAGAGCCCAAGACCGCCCAAGACTGCCCGAGAGGCCCCCACGAGGCCCCCAAGAGGCGCCCAAGGGGCGTCCCAAGAGGGCCCCAAGATGCCAAAATGATAGATTTTCTATGCTTTTCGCCTTTCACGGCGTTGACGACGACCCAAGAGGCCCCCAAGACCGCTCCAAGACGGCCCAAGAGGTCCCCAAGAGGCCCCCCAAACGGCCCAAGAGGGCTCCCAGACGGCCCAAGAGGCGCCCAAGACGGCCCAAGAGGGCCCCAAGACGGCCCCGTGGGAGGGACCACGAACCGAAAAGTTTAGCCTTTCGCCCCAAGAGGCTCCCAGGAGGCCCCCAGAGCCCCCCAAGAAGCCCCCAGATTCCCCCAAGAGGCGCCCCACGAGGCCAATAGGAGGCCAAAATCATAGATTTTCGATTGGAAAACTTATTGTTTTAGTATACGCGGCTTTTCGGCTTTCACGACGTTGACGACGGCCCAAGAGGCCCCCAAGACCGCCCCAAGACGGCCCAAGAGGCTCCCACGAGGCCCCCACAACGGCCCAAGAGGGCGCCAAGACGGCCCAAGAGGCGCCCGATGACGGCCCAAGAGGGCCCGAAGACGGCCCCAAGAGGGGGACCACGAACCCGAAAGTCTAGCCTTTCGCCAAAAGACGCTCCCGGGAGGCCCCCAGAGACCCCCAAGAGGCCCCAAGAAGCCCCAAGAGGCCACCAGGAGGGCCCGAAAAAGGGCCCCAATAGGACTCCCACGAAGGCCTAGAGACGCCAAGAGCGATCGGTAACGCAAAAAGCTCTTCACACCAAGGCTCCCAAGAGCGAACGGTGACTTAAACAAGTTGATCAGACCCAGGCTCCCAGCAGAGAGCGGTGACGTCACAAGTTTCTGATACCAAGGCCCGGGGCCCAGCCAAGGCTCAGGAACGGTCTCTGAACACCAAGGCTCCCGAGAGCGAGGGGTGACGTAACAAGCTCTCAACGCCAAGGCTCCCAGTACGAACGGTGCTGCGAGAAATTTCGGTATCTGTTTCTGAAGCGCTCTTTCCGTTTCTGTGCCGGGCCCAGGTAACGGAAAGAGCGAGGTACGAGCGATGACGTTGTGTGTTGGGCGAAGCCCCTTAAGGGGGATTCCAGGGGGGCGCGTACCGCGAAGGAACTGGGGTTAATGGCCGTTTTGGAGGTTTTCCCTAGTGTTTTTGCCTGTTTTTCGGATTTCTTTTTTTCCGTCCCAGAAGAGCCCAAGACCGCCCAAGGCTGCCCGAGAGGCCCCCACGAGGCCCCCAAGAGGCGCCCAAGGGGCGTCCCAAGAGGGCCCCAAGAGGCCCAAATCATAGATTTTCGATCGGAAAACGTATATTTTTAGCTTCTACAGCTTTTCGCTTTTCACGGCGTTGACGACGGCCCAAGAGGCCCCCAAGACCGCCCCAAGACGGCCCAAGAGGCTCCCATGAGGCCCCCGAAACGGCCTAAGAGGGCCCCCAGACGGCCCAAGAGGCGCCCGAAGACGGCCCAAGAGGGCCCCAAGACGGCCCCAAGAGGGGGACCACGAACCGAAAAGTTTAGCCTTTCGCCCCAAGAAGCTCCCAGGAGGCCCCCAGAGCCCCCCAAGAAGCCCCCAGATTCCCCCAAGAGGCGTCCCACGAGGCCAACAGAAGGGCAAAATCATAGATTTTCGATGGGGAAACTTATTTTTTTAGCATGCACGGCTTTTCGGCTTTCACGGCGTTGATGACGGCCCAAGAGGCCTCCCAAACCGCCCCAAGGCGGCCCAAGAGGCTCCCGAGAGGCCCCCACAACGGCCCAAGAGGGCGCCAAGACGGCCCAAGAGGCGCCCCAGACGGCCCAAGAGGGCCCGAAGACGGCCCCAAGAGGGGGACAACGAACCCGAAAGTCTAGCCTTTCGCGAAAAGACGCTCCCGGGAGGCCCCCAGAGACCCCCAAGAAGCCCCAAGAGGCCCCCAAGAGGCCCCCAAGAGGCCATCAGGAGGGCCCGAAAAGGGCCCCAATAGGACTCCCACGAAGGCCCAGAGACGCCAAGAGCGATCGGTAATGCCAAAAGCTCTTCAAGGCTCCCAAGAGCGAACGGTGACGTGAATACGAACCTTCCGCCCAAGGTCAAGATCCTAACGAACATCCAGCAGGCTTCATACCCACAACCCAGGCACGGAATGGGCCGAAAGCCATTAGACCTCACCCGGCACAGAAACGGAAAGAGCGCTGCAGCAACAGAAACCGAAATTACGCACACCACCGTTCGTACCGGGAGCCTTGGCGTTGAGAGCTGGTTACGTCACCCCTCGCTCTTGGGAGCCTTGGCGTTCAGAGATTGTTGCGTTGCCGCCCGTTCCTGAGCCTTGGCTGGGCCTTGGTGTCAGGAACTTGTTACGTCACCGCTCTCTGCTGGGAGCCTTGGTCTTACCAGCTTGTTTACGTCACCGTTCGCTCTTGGGAGCCTTGGTGTGAAGAGCTTTTTGCGTTACCGATCGCTCGTTATTTGGCGTCTCTGGGCCTTCGTGGGAGTCCTATTGGGGCCCTTTTCGGGCCCTTTTGGAGGCCTCTTGAGAACCTCTTGGGGGCCTCGTGGGGCTTCTTGGGGGGCTCTGGGGGCCTCCTGAGAGTTTCTTGGGGCGAAAGGCTAGACTTTCGGGTTCGTGGTCCCCCTCTTGGGGCCGTCTCGGGGCCCTCTTGGGCCGTCTTGGAGCGATCTTCGGGGCCTCCTCGGCTTTGTTGGAGCGTGGACAGCCCGCAAAGGCGAGAAGCTCAACAACCCCGAAAACAACAAGTGAGAATCAATGATGTTGGCCTCTTGGGGCTCTCTCGGGCGGTCCCTTGGAGGCCTCTTGGGGCGCCTTCGCGGCCCCTTGGGCCGGCTGGGGCCCATCTTGAGCGTCTTCGAGCGGTCACTTGGCGTCTCGGGGCCCTCTTGGATGGACCGCCTTGGCGGCCTCCTTGGAGCCCTCTTGGCACGTGGCAGCGAGCCTCACGGGAACCGCGGCAATGAGCCCCGCCAAGTATTGCAAGTTTGGTTCCGGGCCCCGCAGTGACCCTTCAGGGCTGAGGACTGAAGCTCTCAGGCTCAGGGGCTTGGGCAAAGCACATGAGGACACGCCCACTCCGTGCCCAGAGCGGCACGGCGACGGCTTTTACTGTTCGTTGTGCCAGCGGCTGTCTGCGACGTGAATCAGCCTCTGAAGCGCTGCTAGTTTGTCTCTAGAGCTCCCAGGGCCTCGTCGAATAAGGGCTCTCTTGCTCAACTCACGCTTGCTGGGCGGCAGAAACAACCTTGACCCTCTCGAGTGTGACCACACGAACGTTGGCCATGCGTAGGCGGTCGGGGTCTTGCACTGTGAGTCAGCCATCGCGGGTATCATGATTTGTGCTTGTAGATGCGCGCTGGAGGATAGGAAGGGGCAGAGGCATGGGGGAAGGGGGAGGGGGCGCGGCGGGGGAGAGGGGGGGCAGGATCGACTACAGTCGGACCGAGGTCTAAGATCGAGATCGGCTCGGGGAGGGCTGCCTCATGCTTTTCGTGCTTTGGGGATTTTATGGTGCATGCTGGGGGAGGGTACCCCTGCATGCACTTCAGTTTGGCCAGCGGGGGGTCTCATGATCTTGAATGATGATCTTATGCCCCAGGTCTTGCTGGACACGCAAGTTACCCTTCGCCGGAGGGACCTTTGGTGCGGATGCGATGCGACGGTGGCTGTTTGCGCGCTCGGGTTTGGCCACCTTGCGCTCGGCTAGGTCGCACACTTAGAGTCACTCTTGCCTGGACCACTTCTTCCTGTAGCCGAGCGGAGGGGGAATGGAACAATGACAATGAGGAGGAGGATGAGGGGTGGGGGCCTGGTGGTGACCTGTGGTTCATGGGGAAGGGGGAGGAGACAGAACACGAGTAGGTGGATGTGCAATGAGTGGTGCTATGCGGAGGAGGAGGAGGAGGAGGAGGAGGAGGAGGAGGAGGAGGAGGAGGAGGAGGAGGAGGAGAAGGGGGGGAGGAGGAGGGGGAGGAGGAGGGCAAGGAGGAGGGGGATGGGCAGGAAGGAGGAGGAGTTGTTGTTCGGGCGTCGGTGATCTGAATATCATGCTGCCTCATGGGGGAAAGTGCACGCGCTCGCCCCCCCCCAGGCAACCAGCGATCGCGGAGGGCACACGGGCACCAGCCTTGCAGGTCCCCCTGCAACGAAGGAGTGCGCCGCAGAGCCATTTTGGCTCACGTAGGTGTTGCCGAAGAGGGGGCCTGGAACCAGGGTGCGGTGGCGCAGGAGGCATCTGTGCACCACCGCCGTGCCAGGCCGGGGCCGTCCTGGCTTTGGGATGGTGTGGACGGCTTCCTGGCCGAGACCAGGAAGGGTCTACACGCCATCCCAGGGCCCAGCTGGTGCTGTCTAGACGCCCTCGGCCTCTCCTCCTCCTCCTCCTCCTCCTCCTCCTCCTCCTCCTCCTCCTCCTCCTAGCCCCCCCTGCTTAGGAAAGCTGCCATCAGGGGCAGGCATGAGCGCACGTCCGCGAACAGTACTCGACAGCGGGCGATGGTCCCCCCCGCGTCGCCCGCCGCCATTTCGCATGTCTCCGATGGCATTCTTGTTTCTTTGGACGCGTGTGACTGGATGCAACGGCGAGGCTACATGCATGTCGCCGCAAGTGGAAACCTACACTGTGGAGTATGTGTCAATATCAAACGTGGTTCTCTTCCCTCTAGCGCCGACTTCTCCACGGATGGCGTCTTGTCTTCGAGGGCAGTCTCGTGTTCATCGGCCTGGCCACCACTTCCTGCAGCTGTTCTCGTGCGTCTGACATGGGGTGGGAGCCAGCGTCTTGTGTCCGCGGGCAGCCTTTCGAGGCTGTTGGCCGCTTCTCGCATATACCGACCCCTTCATGGATGGCGTCTTGTGTCCGAGGGCAGCCCTTCGAGGATGCTGGCCGCTCTCTGCATATGCCGACCTCTGCACGGAGGGCGTCTTGTGTCTTCGGGCAGCCTTTGGAGGTTGTTGGCCGCCTCTTGCATATGTCGAGTTCCTCGCGGATGGCATCTCGTGTTCGCGGGCAGCCCTTCGGGGCTGTTGGCCGCTTCTCGCGTCTTGCATACGCCGACTTCGTCAAGGATGACGTCCTGTGTTCTCGGGCAGCTTTTGGAGGCAGTTGGCCGCTTCTTGCATATGTCGAGGTCCTCGCGGATGGCATCTTGTGTCCGTGGGCAGCCCTTCGAGGCTGTTGGCCGCTTCTTGCATATGCCGACCTCTGCACGGAGGGCGTCCTGTGTCCGCGGGCAGCCCTTCGAGGCTGTTGGCCGCTTCTTGCATATGTCGAGTTCCTCATGGATGGCGTCGTGTGTCCGCGGGCAGCCGTTCGAGGCTGTTGGCCGTCTCTTGCACGTGCCGACCTGTGCACGGATGGCGTCGTGTGTCCGCGGGCAGCCTTCCAGGGCTGTTGGCCGCTCTGTGTCTGCACATGACGACTTCTTCACGGACGGCGTCGTCTTTCCGCGGGCAGCCTTTCGAGGCTGGTGGCCGCTCTCGTCTTGCATCTGCCGACTTCTTCTCGAATGGCGTGCTGTGTTTGCGGGCAGTCCTCGGGGCTGGTGGCCGCCGACTGAGTATGCCGAGTTCTGCACGGAGGGCGTTCTGTGTCTGTGGGCAGTCTTTCGAGGCTGTTGGCCGCTTCTGCATGTGCCGACAGTGCCAAGGAAAACGCCGTGATCCTGTTGAAGCCATGGCTTGTCCATCCCTCGTCTCTCCCCATTCCTGTTCGCGTTCGCCGTATTCACGCTCTCTGACTGGCATGCTTCGCCGCTGTGGGCTGGTGTCGGGATGGTCATCGCGTCGTCCTGGGCTTTACCGATTGCCGTTGGTCGCTGGAGAGGAAGTGATCTCTGTTGTAGTGAGTAAGCCCGGCCTCTCCGCAGGCGCGGAGAAGATCCCGCCATGAGCCAGTGTGGAAGTCTTTAGTTGTCCCTTCCTCTGCGTTCCTCCCTCCCTTCTGGCCCGCGCGTTCGCTGAATCCCGTACGTTGCATTCCTCGCATGCCTGTTTGTTTGACACCTTAATTCGTTCCACCTCCGTGGCCTCGTAGCTGTGGTCGAGCGAGGACAACTCGGGGCTCCCCCGCCGGGGGGACCATCCATGATTCGACTTTCAAGTCGCACGGTAGGTCGCAATCGTCTGAGTAAGTTCAGATTGATGGTTAAGTCGAGTTTTATCGACCTTCGGCCCGACACCGCTTCGCCGCCGCGCCTCCTCCTCCTCCTGCTCCTCCTCCTCCTCCTCCTCCTCCTCCTCCAGGACGAGAAGGACGAGGAGGAGGAGGAGGGGGAGGATCAGCAGGAGATGAGGGAGGAGGAGGAGGAGGAGGAGGAGGAGGAGGAGGAGGAGGAGGAGGAGGAGAGGAGGAGGAGGAGGAGGGTGGAGGAGGAGGAGGAGGAGGAGGAGGAGGAGAGGGCCCTGGCCTGGCACAGTGGTGCTGTCTAGACGCCCTCGTCGGAGCGGTCTGGCCCTCGGCGTGCCGCGGGCCCAGATGGGGTAGACTCCGCCGGCGCGGGAGAGGATGGCCAACGACCGCATCCGCGTGGCCGCGCGCGTGCGCCCACTGAGCCTGCAGGAGGAGGAGCGAGGCGAGTCCACGGCCGTGCGCGTCCAGGAGGGCCCGGGGGGGCCCCGAGGCAGCGGGGGGTGGACGGGGCGGATGGGCCAAGGTTCCACCGCCCCACGGCCATGGGCAGGACGGGGGAGAAGGGAGGAGGTCCTCTTCCTCCTCCTCCTCCGCCTCCTCCTCCTCCTCCTCTTCCTCCTCCTCCTCCTCCTCCTCCTCCTCCTCCTTGTCATCCTCCTCCTCCTCCTCCTCCTCCTCCTCCTCCTCCTCCTCCTCCATCCTCCTCCTCCTCCGCCGCCGCCTCCTCCTCCTCCTCGTTGTCGTCCTCCTCCTCCTCTTCCTCCTCCTCCTCCTCCTCCTTTTCCTCCCTCTCCTACCCATGGTAGTGGTGGTGGAGCAGAGGCCCATCAAGGGTCGAGGGAGCGCGCCGCACTCGCGGACGCGTCGGCGGCGGCGGCGCCGATCCTCCGCAGCCCAGGTCGACGGGGAGGGCCTCTGGATGCCTCTCCCGCCCCCCGGTGGCCCGCGAGGGGTCGGCGGCTCCACGGGGGGCCACCGCGGGCGGCGGGGGCGTGCGTCGAGGAGTGTGCCCCGGAGGCTTCAGGCCCTGGGGGGCTCTCTCTGTCAGGGGCAACGACAGGGGGGGATCGGCATCGGGGGGAGATGCATCGACCCCCAGTCGCCCATGGATCGCCGACAGGGGCCCGATGGCCCCAGCCTGCCCAGGAAGGTGCGGACTCACGATCGGAGACCTATCGCCGATCAATCGGCGATGTACCGCCGATTCCAGGTCGATGCATCCCCCCCTATGCCCGTCCCCCCCTATCGTCGCCCCTCACTCTATCTGATGAGGGCGGCGGTGGCATCCGAGGCCATCGGGACAGCACAGCTCACCCCCACCCCCAGCCAGGACCCCCACTCCCTGGTGACCCAAGGGGCCCTGGCTGGGGGTGGGGCTGGCCCTTCCCCACGGGAGTTCGCAAAAAGCCACCGCCGCCCTCGGCCAGGACCCCTTTGGATCACCAGGTCGGGAGTGGGGGACCTGGTTGGGGGTGGGCGTCGTGCTGTTCTCAGGCCGAGCCCCAGCTGGCGTTCCACCAGCCCCGAGGCCCTGGCTTCCTTGTCCAACAGCCCCTTACCCAGACATCCGATGCCTCGATTGCTTCCCCTGAGGAAGTCCCGACCGCTTCCCTGGACCAGCTTCTCATCCTGAATCGTTCCTGGGCAGCCCCAGGATCGTCGATGGCCCCCTGGAGGCCGAAACTGCAGCCAAGCACCGGCGTTCCGACTGCTTGTTCTGGCGCACCGGGGCTCTCTGGGCCATATCCGAGGCCCTCACCTGGCCGCCTCGGCCTCCGAGCTCCCTCCTCTGGGGGAGGGCCCCCCCCCCAGAGGTCCCTCTTCTGGGGGAGGGCCCCCCCCCCTCCCCCGAGCTCCCTCTTCTGGGGGAGGGCCCCCCAGAGCTCCCTCTTCTGGGGGAGGCCCCCCCCCCCCCCCCCCCTCCGAGCTCCCTCCTCTGGGGGAGGGCCCCCTCCCCTCTCCCTCCCCCCCCCCCCGAGGACGAGAACGTGGTCGTGCTGCAGCTGCCCGCCGAGCCCGCCGCGGGGGGGCCCCGGGCCTCGGTCCTCGGGGCGGGCCCCCGCGAGGGCCCCGGGCGCCCGTCGGTGGGCGGGTTCGGCCGCCAGTGCGACGGCGCCCAGGACGCCCGCCCTCGCCCCGCGGCGCTCCCCCGGCGGTCCCTTCCTCGTCCTTCGGTCGGGGGCGCGAGAGGCGACGAGCGAACAGCACACGCAGAGGACCATGGGGAGGAGGAGGAGGAGGAGGAGGAGGAGGAGGAGGGGGAGGAGGGGGAGGAGGAGGAGGAGGAGGGAGGAGGAGGAGGAGGGGAGGAGGCGGAGAGGAGGAGGGAGGAGGAGGAGGAGGAGAGGAGGAGGAGGAGGAGGAGGAGGAGGAGGAGGAGGAGGAGGAGGAGGAGGAGGAGGAGGAGGAGGAGGGGAGGAGGAGGAGGAGGGAGGAGGAGGAGGGAGGGAGGAGGGAGGAGGAGGAGGGAGGAGGAGGAGGAGGAGGATTGGCTATTGGTACGGGCGCGGGTTGTCGGACCCGTGGGGGGGGGGCTCCGTTCGAGCGGGGGCCGCCATCCGACGACACGCATCCATGGCCCCCTCCGTCCCCCCGACGGGGAACGGGTGCGTGTATTTGTTTCGTCGGGAGGCTCCTCCGGTCTCGTTCTGAGGCTGCGCCCTCCTTTTCCTCTCCCATCTCTGCCCAATTCAAGCTTCGCGCGGCCCGCTTAGCTTCGACCGGAAGATGTGCGCTCTCGACCCGCGGATCAAATTGTTTCGTCGGGTGGGGGAGGATGCCTTGGGGGGGGATGTCGTGCGCCTCCTGGCGACGCCGGCGCACCGCAGAGGCGGCTCTGTGGCGGCGCCGCCATGCACACTGCGGCCCAGAGCATGCACACTACGGTCCAGAGCACGAAGATGCGTCTGCTTTGATCCTCTCTCGCTCCATACAGAGTTGTTTCTAGTTGTTGTTGTTGTTGTTGTTGTTGTTGTTGTTGTTGTTGTTGTTGTTGTTGTTGTTGTTGTTGTTGTGAAGTTCCCTAGGCCGCTGGGGATTGCATGTGGGTTTGCCAGGGAGTTGTCCCAAAGCTGTTTTTGAGTTCGTCAGGCGGTCAGAAATGTGTTTACGTTTGGAGTTGTTTTAAAGTGTTGTTCTTAACAAGTTGCTTTAGAGTTTCATGTCTGAAAATGGTTTCAGGCGTTTAAAGTTTGGTTGTAGAGTTTGATTTAAAAGTTTGTTTTTGAGTTTTTAGGCGTTTAGAGTTGTTTCTAGTTTTGTAGAGTTTGTTTAAAGTTTGTTTTAGATGTTATGTGTTTTTAGAGCTCCCGTTTCCAGCTGTTTGGTAACTTTGAGATTTCCCCAGGTTTCGGCTTAGATCTTTTTTTGAACTTATTTTAGTGTCTGAGATGTTCGTTGGTTTTTGGTCTTGAGATTACTGGAACTCACTTAGAGTTCGAGATTTTCGCAGGTTTTGCCTTTTGATATGTTTGGAAGCTTTTCCAGAGTTAGAGATGTTCGCAGGTTTGGGCTGGGAGATGTTTTGAACGTTTTTCTAGAGTTTGAGATGTTCGCAGGTTTGGGCTTCGAGTTTTTTTTGCAGTTTTTTTAGGGTTTGAGTTCCTTCGGGCGATGTGGCGGTGGACCGCCTGCAGTCGCGACTGCCGATCCTGAGCATAAGCACGAACAACTTTTGGCGTTTTCCGCGCGGATCCCTCGGCTCCGCGCTGGGCCCGCCCCCCCCCCGCCGGCGGCGCCCCCCGCGGCGCCGCCCCTGGGGCCGGAGGCGCGCGCCAGGGTTTGGGGGGCCCCGGCGCGGATCCGAGAAGTCCGTGCGGAGCGCCAAGCATTTTCAGCCCCAGACACGATAGCGTCGTAGAGAAAAAATCGGGGCGAAGGGTTTTGGGCTATGTTCGGCCCAAGGGAGTCTTCGCCGGGCCTCGGAAGCGTCGAACAACGGCTCGGGACGAAGAACCGGTCCCGAGGAACGGGTCGGGATTTCCAGGGACGCCGACGCGTAAAAATCAGGACGTCGAATGTCTGAGACCTGTGCACGGCCGCCCACCGCGCTCTGGCCCCGCGCGCCTGGCTGCTGCTGCCTGCCCGGCTGCTCATCGTCGAATTCTTCGGCGTCTGAGCGTCCCTCCTTCCCCTCGGCCGTCCCACTCCCTCCCTGCTCGCCGGCCAATTCGCTATAGTAGGTGCCCCTACCTAGCTGCTCGCCGGAGCGGATTTCGCCGCCCCGCCGCCGACGGAAAAATGCTTGGGACCTCTGCTGGCTGCCACTGCGCGACGCAGACAATTACCAGCCTCGAACGTATCCCTATCCCTAAGATTGACACGCCAAAAGGCGATGACAATCTTAGGGCTTCGCCCTCAAAGAATAAGGGAATCCTTAAGATTGGCATCGTGATGAGGAGGTGCCCAGCATAGGGATAGGGATATTCTCCAGGCTGGTAAGACAAGCGGGGGGCCGTCTTGGCCGACGCTGGCGCGCAGGATCTGCCCGCGTGCAGGGCCGCGCGGTGTGCGCCACGCTCTCGTCTCTCTCTATTCCGCGCGGGGTGCGCCGCGCTGGCGGCTCGCGCGCGCAGCCGCGCAAAAAGGGCGCCGGGCCATCTGGCGTAAGGCCCGCTTCTCTTCGTCACTCTTCCCCTCCTCCTCTTCCTCCTCCTCCTCCTCCTCCTCCCCATCATCATCATCATCATGATCATCAGCATCATCATCATCATCATCATCATCATCATCATCATCATCATCATCATCATCATCATCATCATCATCAGCATCATCATCATCATCAGCAGCAGCAGCAGCATCATCATCATCATCATCATCATCATCCCCATCCCCCTCCTCCCCCCTCTCTTCCTCCTCCCCCTCCCCCCCCTCCCTCCTCCTCCTCCTCCTCCTCCTCCTCCTCCTCCTCCTCCTCCTCCTCCTCCTCCTCCTCTCCTCCTCCTCCTCCTCCCCCCTCCCCCTCCTCCTCCTCCTTCCCCTCCTCCTCCTCCCCCGACAACTGGCGGATTCCGGAACCCCTGAGATTCAATAACGTGTTTCACCTCTCGGGGGTGCATCTTGTATGGCCGCCGCCCTCCGCTGGCCTTCCGCCCGCCTTCCGCCGGCGGAGGCGGCCTCGTTTTACCTCCGCCGACCCTTCGCCGCCTTCCGCCGAGGAGGAGATGACAACTCCGTTCGACCCTGGAATGCAATGCTCTTTTTGGAAGCGCCTCAACTGGCTGTTTGGTCTGGCCTGCCCGCCCCGGGCACTGCCACCGAGCCCTCGGGTCCAGGGGGGGCCAGGGCCCCTGCGATACGCCCGCGCCCCCCCCCCCGGGAGGATGCCGCCTCTCACGCGTTCGGGTTCGACCACACCTTCACCTCGGCACGAGGGGACGACGTCGAGACCCAGCAGGAGCGACTGGAGTGGGGGGGGGGCGCGCCGGAGAAGGAGCAGGAGGAAGAGGAGGGATACGGGGCGGTGCTCGTCCACAGCCAGCTCGGAGGGCAAAATTCGCTCACTCTCTCCTGCGATGGGCGTTCGTTAAGGAGTGTGCCCAGCTGGCTCCAGACACCAGAGACCCTGCAGGATGCCTTGCCTGACGAGGGCGGCGGTGATATCCATGGCCACTCCACGATTGGAAGTCCACGGGCTTCAGACCCTGCGTTCCTTCTCCAATGATTCCTTCTCCAATGCCCTCGCCGTGCCCTCTCTCCGCCTCCTCTCAGGAGGCAAAGAAACACACAGACACAATGAATCGTCGACTCCCAGGAGAATATGCAAAAATATGGGAAGTGGGGGAAGACAAAAAACTAAAAAATATTGGAAAATATGGGGAATATTTTTATTTCTGTGTATGTATTTGTGTGTCCTGGGGCCCCATTCATCCTCCCCCTCCTCCTCTGTGCAGTGCGAGAGCGCGGTCCTCGTGCCATGAGAGGCCCCCGACGGCGGGGGCGAGGACCCCGCGGCTCTCCCGGGGCGCCCGCGGCCCGCGCCCGCGACCAACGGCCCGTCCGCGACATGCCACGCGCCCTGCTCGCCGCGGCTCCCTCGCGCCCTGGCCGCGGCCCGACCGGACCAGGCGCCCCGCGAGGCAGAGGCCCCCCGACGCTTGTTTATTATTAAACAAATAAAATTTAAATTACCCTGTGACGTACCCAACCCATTTGTATCAGTGGAAACGAGGAGTTGGCCGAAACTTGTATGGACAATTGACTTGATGTGTAAGCTACTTGAGAGGCGTCACTGTGCTGGGCCCCGCAGGCAGGCCTCGAAAGTGGCGACAGTTTCACAGATCGCAGCCCCCCAGGGATGGCGAGGTCTAATTTGAATCTGCGTGTGGCGTCACTGTGCTGGGCCCCTCAGCAGCCCTCGAAAGTGGCGACAGTTTCACAGATCGCAGCCCCCCAGGGACGGCGAGGTCTAATTTGATCTGCGTGTGGCGTCACTGTGCTGGGCCCCCCAGCAGGCCTCGAAAGTGGCGACAGTTTCACAGATCGCAGCCCCCCAGGGATGGCGAGGTCTAATTTGAATTTGCGTGTGGGTACCCACTGTGCTGAGCCCCTCAGCAGCCTTCGAAAGTGGCGACGGTTTCACAGATCGCAGCCCCCCAGGGATGGCGAGGTCCCATTTGAGTTTGCGTGTTGGTACCCACTGTGCTGGGCCCCTCCGCAGCCCTCGAAAGTGGCGACCGTTTCACAGACCGCAGCCCCCCAGGGATGGCGAGGTCTAATCTGAGTCTGCGGTGAGTACCCACTGTGCTGGGCCCCTCAGCAGCCCTCGAAAGTGGCGACAGTTTCACAGATCGCAGCCCTCCAAGGATGGCGAGGTCCCATTTGAGTCTGCGGCGAGTACCCACTGCGCTGGGCCCCTCAGCAGGCCTCGAAAGTGGCGACGGTTTCACAGATCGCAGCCCCCCAGGGATGGCGAGGTCCCATTTGAGTTTGCGTGTTGGTACCCACTGTGCTGGGCCCCTCAGCAGCCTTCGAAAGTGGCGGCAGTTTCACAGATCGCAGCCCCCCAGGGATGGCGAGGTCCCATTTGAGCCTGCCGTGAGTACCCACTGTGCTGGGCCCCCCAGCAGGCCTCGAAAGTGGCGACCGTTTCACAGACCGCAGCCCCCCAGGGATGGCGAGGTCCCATTTGAGTCTGCCGTGAGTACCCGCTGTGCTGGGCCCACCAGCAGGCCTCGAAAATGGCGACAGTTTCACAGATCGCAGCCCCCTAGGGATGGCGAGGTGCCATTTGAGCTTGCCGTGAGTACCCACTGTGCTGGGCCCCCCAGCAGGCCTCGAAAGTGGCGACGGTTTCACAGATCGCAGCCCCCCAGGGATGGCGAGGTCCCATTTGAGTCTGCCGTGGGTACCCACTGTGCTGGGCCCCCCCCCAGCAGGCCTCGATGGTGGCGACAGTTTCACCGATCGCAGCCCCCCAGGGATGGCGAGGTCCCATTTGAGTCTGCCGTGAGTACCCCACTGTGCTGGCCCCCCCCAGCAGGCCTCGAAAGTGGCGACAGTTTCACAGATCGCAGCCCCCCAGGGATGGCGAGGTCCCATTTGAGTCTGCCGTGAGTACCCACTGTGCTGGGCCCCCCAGCAGGCCTCGAAAGTGGCGACAGTTTCACAGATCGCAGCCCCCCAGGGATGGCGAGGTCCCATTTGAGTCTGCCGTGAGTACCCACTGTGCTGGGCCCCCCAGCAGGCCTCGAAAGTGGTGACAGTTTCACAGATCGCAGCCCCCCAGGGATGGCGAGGTCTAATTTGAATCCCCGTGGGCGTCACTGTGCTGGGCCCCCCAGCAGGCCTCGAAAGTGGCGACAGTTTCACAGATCGCAGCCCCCCAGGGATGGCGAGGTCTAATTTGAGTCCGCTGTGTACCACTGTGCTGGGCCCCCCAGCAGGCCTCGAAAGTGGCGACAGTTTCGCAGATCGCAGCCCCCCAGGGACGGCGAGGTCCCATTTGAGACAGCCGTGAGTACCCACTGTGCTGGGCCCCCCAGCAGGCCTCGAAAGGAGCGACAGTTTCACAGATCGCAGCCCCCCAGGGATGGCGAGGTCACATTTGAGTCTGCCGTGAGTACCCACTGCGCTGGGCCCCCCAGCAGGCCTCGAAAGCGGCGACAGTTTCACAGATCGCAGCACCCCAGGGACGGCGAGGTCCCATTTGAGTCTGCCGTGAGTACCCACTGTGCTGGGCCCCCCAGCAGGCCTCGAAAGTGGTGACAGTTTCACAGATCGCAGCCCCCCAGGGATGGCGAGGTCCCATTTGAGTCTGCCGTGAGTACCCACTGTGCTGGGCCCCCCAGCAGGCCTCGAAAGTGGCGGCAGTTTTACAGATCGCAGCCCCCCAGCTGGCACGCAGCGACGAGCGACGCGAAAGGCAAGGGGGAAGAGAGCGGCGGGAGGGGGCGGGAAGGAAGGAAGGAAGTAAGGAAGGCGACGCGCGAGCAGTGCTCTGTTCAAAACGAGAACCCAACGCAGGAGGGTTGGGAAATTACGCTACCGAGGAACCCCACATACTTAACTTAAATATTGAGTGCTTTCTTACGTTTATACTATATGTGCAGTTCTGCGTTCTCAGCCCTCGTCGCGAATGTTCCCCTTATGTGTCATCCAACGCCATATTGCTTGAACCTCCTCCCTCTTCCTAGCCTTCTATCCCCCGTCGAGGACAGATTCGAGCCAGCCAGCGGCCGCGGTGAGGGACCACCCCCTGCGCAGCCTCTATGGTGTCGAGAGAATGCCGCGCCTGCTATGCCCTGGACGACCGTCGTGCATAGCAGCCGCGGTGAGGGACCACCCCCTGCGCAGCCTCTATGGTGTCGAGAAAGTGCCACGCCTGCTATGCCCTGGACGACCGTCGTGCATAGCGGCCGCGCTGAGGGACCACCCTCTGCGCACCTCCTGTGGTGTCGAGAAAGTGCCGCTCCTGCCACGATCTGCGAGCGTGTCACGGATAGAGGCCGCGCTGAGGGACCACCCTCTGCGCACCTCCCTGTGGTGTCGAGAAAGTGCCACTCCTGCCACGATCTGCGAGCGTGTCACGGATAGAGGCCGCGCTGAGGGACCACCCTCTGCGCACCCCCTGTGGCGTCGAGAAAGTGCCACTCCTGCCACGATCTGCGAGCGTGTCACGGATACAGGCCGCGCTGAGGGACCACCCTCTGCGCACCCCCTGTGGTGTCGAGAAAGTGCCACTCCTGCCACGATCTGCGAGCGTGTCACGGATAGAGGCCGCGCTGAGGGACCACCCTCTGCGCACCCCCTGTGGCGTCGAGAAAGTGCCACTCCTGCCACGATCTGCGAGCGTGTCACGGATAGAGGCCGCGCTGAGGGACCACCCTCTGCGCACCCCCTGTGGTGTCGAGAAAGTGCCACTCCTGCCACGATCTGCGAGCGTGTCACGGATAGAGGCCGCGCTGAGGGACCACCCTCTGCGCACCCCCTGTGGTGTCGAGAAAGTGCCACTCCTGCCACGATCTGCGAGCGTGTCACGGATAGAGGCCGCGCTGAGGGACCACCCTCTGCCACCCCCTGTGGTGTCGAGAAAGTGCCACTCCTGCCACGATCTGCGAGCGTGTCACGGATAGAGGCCGCGCTGAGGGACCACCCTCTGCGCACCCCCTGTGGTGTCGAGAAAGTGCCACTCCTGCCACGATCTGCGAGCGTGTCACGGATAGAGGCCGCGCTGAGGGACCACCCTCTGCGCACCCCCTGTGGTGTCGAGAAAGTGCCACTCCTGCCACGATCTGCGAGCGTGTCACGGATAGAGGCCGCGCTGAGGGACCACCCTCTGCGCACCCCCAACCCCTGTGGCGTCGAAGGAATGCCCTGTGTGGTATGCTGTGCTGTGCTGTGCTGTGCTGCTGTGCGGTGAGCTGTGCTGTGCCGTGCCGTGCCGTGCCGTGCTGTGCTGTGCTGTGCTGTGCGAGAAGGAGAAGGGGAGGGGGGAGGTGTGAGACGCGGGTGCGGCGCGGCAGGGAAGAAAATCAGAACCCCACGAAACATGTGGGGGACAAAAAAGCAGAGGGCCCCTGGCGCGCCGCCTTCTTTGGGGGGGGGCAGAGAGGGGGCCACGACGGCAGTCTACGGGCCGGGATCGCACGCCGGCCGTGGGCCTTCGCGTTGGCACTTCGCTGCCGTACGCCATGTCTCTCTCTCTCTCTCTCTCTCTCTCTTTCTCTCTTTCTTGTGTTCTCTCTCTTTTTATATATATACACACATACAAGACTACATTGGCGCTTCGCGCCATGCACCTTGACCCGATAAATGGATGGTGGCTGAGAGAGGTAAGCCGATCAAGGCAGAAAGCGTTTCTGGTGGCCGATGTCGCCATCACCGTGGCTGCATTGTTTGTCTTGGTCCTTTCCTCATGTTTGTCTTCGTCCATTATTCTCTCTTACACATATATAC